TGTCTCAAATGAGGGCTGTGAGCCCTAACAAAGAATGGTGTTGTTCGAGAGCCAACAGGTGACGGGGTGAAACCTGAGTATATGTGTACATTGGAGTAAAGTCTGGCTGCTGTTTAAAATAGAATTTAAAAAAATCAATGGGAGACTGTAAAAGGCAACATTTCTTTCTTTCTAAATCTGTACACTCTCCTAAGGAGAGAGGGGGGGAAGCATCCGTGAGAAAACCGCTTCCTCGTCTGGAAGTTTGGGTTTTGCCTTTCTGCAGCGTGCGCTTGAGTTTCCATCGTCGCTGTAAAGTGCCAAGGATAACACGGCGAAATCAGATGTGTTGGCGTGGGGTGATGCTTTGTCATGGGGCTTCCTCCTTTTGTTAATAGAGGTAGCCTGTCTTCGCACTGTGGCTCGTCAAAAGAAAATACCCTGAAAAGGATAGTCTGATTTTCAGTTGGAAAAGTAATCTTTGCGCTGGGATGCTAGGGGAGGAAAGCAGTTAACTCCTCTGTCGGTCCTTGTTCGCTGGCTAGTGAAAGGGGAAAAAGTTCTTACTTCTAGGGTCCATCTAGAGGTCTGTTGAATAAACAAGTAGACAGGCTCTGTTCTTTCCGCTACTGCTCTGGGTAGTTCATTACTCAAAGGAGGCAACAGCTGAAGAAGTCGGTGGTGCTGATACAGATTCTGCTCATCAATTGGATCCAGATTTTCCAAGCATAGAGCTATAGAGCTCACTGTAAATACGTTACTTGTTCTGTAGCTAGGGAAGGGGACTTCCTGATGATGTGTGTAATACATATTGGAAATAGTCTTTGAATTATTAATAGGTTACTTTATGGTTGTTTATTGCTGCTGTATTACCCTTTCCTCTTCTAATGTAGTTATCTTGCACCAGGGATTAAATAAGCAGGTGAATGAGCTGGTCATGCTAATCTTAACTCGTTGAGCCTTCATTGTGAATGGATGCATGTGATATGCATCTTGTATCCCCTATAGCCTTGTTAACAAGCCTTCTAACAAAAAAAGTTGTTAAAACAATTTACCCTGCAGGACAGAGTAAAACAGCAGGGGATGGGCAAGGAGATGTTTGTCTAACTGTGCTCACAAATCATGACCTTTCTATCTGGTCAGGAGGGAACATAATCAGTGAGCTGGAAATCCTAGCACAGGGATAACCTTCTTACAGGCTTCAGCAACAGCTTTACTCTAAGTTTGATATCCCAATATTTTTTGTACCCATAGGTTTGTAATTAGGAGTGTAGTTTGTCTTTGCTTCTAAGGAATTTGTCATATTATGGTTGTTTTAATTCATCAGTGGAAAAAACACATTAATTGCTTTTCTTTTTAAATCGAATTTAGCTGTGTAATTCAATTATGTTATTCATAGTTGTCAACATGCCAGTGAAATACCTCCTTGTAGACTATAAAGCCTTTTTTAAGAGGTACTATTTGAACAGAGCTGAAACCTCAAAATGTTCCACAGACTTTAAAAAGCAAAGCAAAACAAAACATCCTTGCTGTGTTCTGTAGGTGTCACGCCAGGAGTAGAAAACCCACCTTTCTACTAACCCCTTGGAAAGCACTTATTTTTTCAGCTGTTGTTTATATTCATTTGAATCCTCCTTAGGATGTAATCATTTTAAACAGATCACTTTGAAGGATGAGTGTGGTTTGGAGGCGGGGAGGAAAAACCCTGTAGTTTTAAAGTGCAAACCAAATCACACTTGAGCAGGAGAGGAAGAAGAACTCCTAAACAAGCAATTGCTAAAACAGTTCTGCAGACAGCCTGCTGTTAAACTAGGCTGGATTAGAAACCTTGCTCTCAGCAACACCACAGTATTTGTGACGTGGCCGTATTGATACGTGACATACTGTCAGTCATTTTGTAGATAGCTTCATGTTTGCTCTGTGGGAGCATTTTTCTTTGAAAGTGAATGATGTCCTTAGAGTAATCTCAGTTCACTGAAGATTTGTGGACCTTGCTTTGAACATTTCCAATTGCCTTCTCTGGGGAGGAGAACCCTGACAGTAAAGTTGCATTTCACAGTTGGAGGTAAGGTGTATTTTTCCTTTATTCTCTATCAGCCAAACTTTCAGCTGTCCTGTATGACTGGAAACTGGACCTGTGGGTCTGTGGTTTCCTCTTGTTGATGTGCAAGCTCTCTGAAATGGATTGGTCAGAGGAGGCCCAGGCAGGACCAGTTTCTGCAGAAAAGCAGCCTGGTCTCTTACCAGTGCCTTGTTTTCCTTAGGAATTAGGCAGCACTCCTACACTTACATACCTTTGCTTAGTCGAATTCCTGACGTTGCCCAGCGCTGCTTTTTGCAGTGTGGAAGCAGTATTTAGCCTCAGTATTCAAAATACTCAGAAAAGTTAACACGTCACCATGCATTCAGATTTTGGGTTGTTTCCTTGCCTTTCAAGAGAAGTAAGTCACAGAAGTTAATCTTTGATCTTGCAGAGAGAGGGTTTGCATAATCAATATGGAGCAATTACTCAGTGACTGGTGGGCTTGTGTTTGGCATTGTGTGAATGAGGCAGGGGTACACTCTGCTCAAGTGCCCAGGCACTGCCAGAGCTTAACCTGTCCCTTTGCCTAAATTAGGTTCAAATCTGCTTTGTGTGGGGTGCGGTTGAGGTCAGGCTACCTAATGAAATATCGGCAAAGACGTTTCACCTACTGACTCCTTTCATTCTTGGGTTATTGTACAGGAGTCAGTTCTTGAAAGCTGACTGTTTGCATTCAAGTTCTTGCGTTGCAATGCCATAAGAATTGGAAATATCATCTGTGAGTGGCACAGTATTGTAAACCAGATATCTGCCTCTTTCTAAATGGAAATGGTAAAACAGTTCATCTGCTGCTGAGATAACCTTGGAAGGAATTTGGCTTCTCAGTGATTCTCATAGTGATTTAAGAGTTATTTGGATATAGATGATGCAGGACACAGGCTGCCAACCTGAGCACCCCATCCCTCAGCGACAGTGAGCACTGTTCCCTCTTTTTGCAAGAGTGATTTCCTAACTGCATCACAGTGTTCCTCTGTCCCTCCTTCCTCAAACCCCAGTTTTATGCAAGCAATAACAAAAACATACCTGATGCTTAACTTTACTTCCACTAATAAGTTGAGAAGGGAAACAGTCTTGTGTCTTGTCGTTTGTTTCTGAAGGCAACTAATTCAAGGGATATAGTATTAACCAGGAAGCCTGTCGTTCTATTTTAAATATATAGGACTGAGTTTGGTTATACTCACCCTCCTTGAGAAAGATGGTGACATGGCAATGTTAAACTCAGAAGCTGTTTTGCTAAACTTCAGCTGTTCAACTTGAGTAAGATTTCAGACATGTGCCTGACAGCTCACCAGCTTTCCAGAAAAAGCCTCTTCTCAGAGAGGAAGTTGGCAGGTTTGCTTGCCCCATCAAATATTAAATTATTCTCTTATTACAGTGCAGCTATGAAGTGTGTTGGCATGTCAGCCGTGCACCAAAAATGATGCCTGTGTTTTTGGACCAGAAGGTTTTGGAGTAAAGTTAAACAACTTAATTTCTTTGAGCACTAGCCCAGTGGAAGAGTTAAGTAATGCCATCTCTTTTTATTGGGTGTAGGAATGTATAGATGTATAGAAAATAGGACTAGATAAGATTGTATACTACTGGATATTGTAATTTCTCTGAGTTTGTTGCTCTGGATATATGTGGCCACTTTTTATGGAACAGGTTTAGTTTATGTGCTGAATCATCAGAACTTGGCACTAACTAGTGCCTCATGCTTGAAGGAGAAACTCCTGTTAAGTAACCAGCAAAATACACAGTCTTAAATCTTCCATCAGCAACTTATTTTCTCTAATATGGTGGTGATGAGACTAGATATGTAATAACATGGGACCCACCAGAAGCTTTTAGATTGCTCTCCACATTAGACCCACCAGCAAGGTTATATGGCAAGATTAGAATTTTCTACAGCTCAGATCTAGCTCTCACAAAATTGGATCTGTGTTTAGATAAATAGGTGAAAGAATGTCCTAAAAACGGGGAAGACATAGCTCATGTGTAATGTAGTACTGTTACAGCAAGCTTGTTCCTACCCTGAGTGGTCAGGATGTCTGCCATATTAGGACACATCCTCTGTGGTTTTGGTTGTGTGTATTTATATACATATATATAAATATATATATTCATTGAAATTACTCATCTGAATTTCCTAAGAACTTCTGCTCTAAGTTCTAATGTAAGACATTTATCTTAAGCTTTTTACTGCAGACTGCTATGGATCTTGGTGAGAGCCTTCTCTGCCAGTTGTTACTCAAAATGATCCCACTGATATTAAACTTTGCAGGCTTCATGAATCAACAGAAGCATCACCCTGTAGGGTTTTAAATTGACAGAACAATCATGATGTATTTTACAGAGACTAATCTGGCATAATTGAATTTCAGATACTTAGCAGGACCAACGCCCTTCCGCTCCCATACAGCTAAAACAAAGTTCTCAGAGGAATCCAGCAGATGCTTGCTGCTCTGTGCCTGCCTTGTGAACAACAGGGTGCTACTTGCACAACTGTCTTTCCCCAATAATTTCTTTAGTTTTTGACAAGTGGTTGTCATGTCTTTTGTTTTACTAGATTAGTGGTAGTAATGGCTTCAAGAAGAGCTTGTGTCATTCATGCTGTTAATATCTGCTCAATGAGTCTTTCCTAGATACAGCTCTGTACAACCTGTGATGTGAAACAAGCAGAACTGTAAAAGACGACAAGTGTTAATACTGAAATACATTGTGGTTGTCAAATGTGGTAGTGTGTGTCTAGGGTTTGTTTTGGGGGTTTTTTGAGTAGTTTTATTTTTATAACTCTTTCAAGAACTTTTGAATTGCTTATAGCAAGTGGTAATGAAGCTTCAATAATTTATTATTCTGGGCAACAAAATTAATACTGAACTGTTTTAAGATCATTTACACTGGTAATTAGTTGTTGCATGTTCAAATTTATTAAAGCTCTATTAATCTCTTTCTGCAGATCAGTTTCTTGATGAGCTGCAGCTGAAATATTTAACACTTCACACTCATGCCACTGGAGATGGAGCCCAAAGCCAATAACCTCGTTTTTGGGTGTCAGCGAAGCTCAACCTCTGACGATGACTCTGGATGTGCCTTGGAGGAATATGCCTGGGTTCCCCCAGGCCTCAGACCAGAGCAGGTACCAACTATGCTTCTGCATTTTAAAAATAAGCCTCGTAAGGACTGTCTGAGAGAGTTATGTGCTCCCTCTACAAGTGTAATTAAATGAGCTGTTCCACAAAAATATTTTTTGCCATTGGGCTTTGTCACAGTGTTCATTACAGCTTTCCTGTCATAATATTCTTCTGGAAAAAAAAAAAAAAAAAAGGAGAGTGAAGATTGATACAAAAACATTCATCCCATGAAAATTCCATGGTTAATTTGCATCTGATTGAAATGTGGCTGGATCCAGCCTCTTCCCAAGGGAAGGATGTTTCCACCTTCTTACCAAAGCCCACATGGAAGCAATGAAAGCTGATGCTTTGGGTGAACCTGGTCAGCAGGAGACTACAAAACAGCTTTTGTCTCAACAATGTGTAAAATGCAGAGAGCAAATTAAATTTGTTTATATAGTGGCTGTTTTCTGGAAAGCTTCATGCCTTGTGTGGTAAATTGCAGAGGGAAACTTGGAATTTCCACAGAGCTGTTGACCGGCCCTAAAGGGGGTGGGAATAATGAGAACATTAAATGTGCATAATTTATGACACCCCCCTAATTGTCACTGCAAATTGCATTCCAGAAAAGCAATTCAGCAGCTGGGTGCTAGTTTCATCAGAGACAATTCAGGTTTGCTGAGCTGGTTCATTTGGGTCTCGTATTTTCAGCAAAAACCCTGTCATAGGTCTAATGTAGCGTGACTTTCTTCCTTCATAAATGAGATCTGAGATAAAACAGTAGCTAGAGGATGCTGGCAGTGCTTGGGTGATGCATCTCCCTTGGACTGAACTCTGCATTTCTCCTGGTCAGGTCCAGCTGTATTTCGCCTGCTTGCCCGAGGAGAAGGTCCCTTATGTTAACAGTCCTGGAGAGAAACACCGGATTAAACAACTTCTCTATCAGCTGCCACCCCATGATAATGAGGTAAATACAGAATTTAGGATGAACCGTCAGGGCTTGGGATCTCCCTGCCGGCTTTTACGTGGAGAATTACCTGCCTGTGCATTTATTACAAGCCTCAACTGTGGCCTGCAGTGGCATCTGAGCCATAAAGCAGCATGGTGTGTACACTGAGTCCATTGTTCAGCTGTCCGCTTGGCCTGTGTGCAGATAAGAGCTGTCTGGAAGGACACTGCTTCTGCTTGTTAGGGAGGCTGGTGTCACTGCAATAAACTTAACACAAGTTGGTTTTATAGTGTTTGCAGCCACCCACCAATTACCAGGAACCTACAAATTCCTGAAATTGCATTGTAGCGCACAAAAAGGATGCTTTGTGATAGTAAAAGGTTTGCATCTCAGTTATGCAGTGTAATTTGGAGTAGAAGTGGAAATAACAAACAAGCTCTTTGTAAGGAAAGGGGTGGGGATGTCAATACTAAAGATCTTGTGTGTACTGCAATACTTAGTTGTGGGCACTTAACCATAAATCTAAAAGACAATGTTACAACTGATTTGGGTTCATTCCATTGTTTTAGGATAGCAGCAGATTTTGGGTTGGCTTTTAAAAATATTTTTTCTTTCCTAAACAACTCCTTAGTTTAACATGGTGGGTTTTTTTTTCCTGTAATGCAAAATCTCTCTCCATACTACTTCTGTGTTATGCCATATTACCTAAATATTAAGATGGTAGAGAAGGCAAGTTGGAAGAGTTTAATGATGAGTGGCAGCAGGCCTGATGAATTCCTTGCATATAAGCACTTACTTATTAATCTGTTACTTTAAAGGCTCAGTATATAAAATAAATTCTCTTGTGTTTTCATTGGAAGGTGAGATACTGCCAGTCTTTAAGTGAAGAAGAAAAGAAGGAACTGCAGATGTTCAGTTCTCAGCGCAAAAAGGAGGCACTTGGCCGAGGCACTATTAAAGTACTCTCAAGAGCAGTGATGCATGCGGTTTGTGAACAGGTAATACTCCTACTGCCACAAGCCAGCTACCAGGCTGAATAATCTAAAACTGCAATATCTCAGTATTAAAATTTAACCTTATCTCTGTCTATATCTGAAAACATCAACAAAAAACCAAAACAAAAAAAGTGTTTTTGAAGCTGCATGGAAGAAGAAGGAAGGTAGTGCTTGCTTAAGCAAAACACAACCTTTGATACTGGGAATGAACTGAGTCTTTGATGTATTTCCTACTCAAAAAAAACCCCTGATGCTGATTCATACTAAAGTAATGACAAATGAAAAACAGACATGTGCTTTAAAATGTTATTTTATATAAAATAAACTTATACGCACAAAAGGTTCATTGATACACATTTTGTCTAGACCAAAATTGATATTTTTTCCATCTTGTCAGAATTTTGGAATAAAATCTCATATTGTGTTTGGCATTTTAACTTAGTTTAAATGCAGGAAGCTAGAAGTTTGGGATGGGAAGTGTGTTCACTTTCTGGGTTTGTTCCTAGTGTGGTACAAAAGTAAATGGCGGTGAAGTTGCAGTTTTTGCCTCGAGAGCTGGGCCTGGTGTGTGCTGGCATCCCTCGTGTTTTGTGTGCTTCACATGCAACGAGCTGCTTGTTGACCTTATCTACTTCTACCAAGATGGAAAAATTCACTGTGGCAGACACCATGCTGAACTTCTCAAACCTCGATGTTCAGCCTGTGATGAGGTAAATAATTCACATTTTACAGCCAATCTACACTCCTGCTGTTCAGTTAACAAACTGCAGTTGGGAAACACCTAACTTCAGATGTAGACACTTAAGAAGTCAGGACTCTGCTGCATAGATATGTTTGGAGGCTGAGGGGTATTTCTTGTTAAATTGGCAATATTACAAGTAATATGATGGTATTTAGAAGGCACAAACCTGTTTGTGTTTAGAGTTGAACCTTGTAGATCAAATAAGAAAAAATATCTGTACAAATATGCCAAAATATCATCTTTAGAGAAGCCTCTTTAATGGTTGAATTCTTAGGTTCCTTTTTTTTTTTCTTTAAAATGTGCTGGGCTTTTTTCTCTTTTTTTTTTTCTTTTTTTTTTGTTCTTATAGAAAAGGTCAGAATTCCACAATTGCTGTGGGAGATTGTTTTTCTGTCTTTGTATTTAAAAGGCAGTAAAATAAAAATAAATTTAGCATATGAACTGCAGAGCTAGGATATTTTACATGCTCTAACTCCCAAGGTCAGGTTTTGGCCACTTAACTAAAAGAATCCATTTTATTTCTGAAAAGATAATTTTTGCTGATGAGTGTACGGAAGCTGAAGGTCGCCACTGGCACATGAAGCATTTCTGTTGCCTCGAGTGTGAAACAATCCTGGGTGGACAGAGATACATCATGAAGGATGGGCGACCATTCTGCTGTAACTGTTTTGAATCTCTCTACGCGGAATACTGTGAGACCTGTGGGGAACATATCGGTAAGTCCTTTTTAAGCATTAAAGTTACAAACTAGGGGAAAGGGAAAGCCAATTATGAAATGATTTCACATTCCAGAACTATGAATTCTGCAAGTAATTTTTTAGAGAAACCCAAAGCACTGCTTTTTCTCCCTTTCTAGGTGTTGACCATGCTCAGATGACCTATGATGGGCAGCACTGGCACGCCACAGAAGCTTGCTTTTCTTGTGCTCAGTGCAAGACTTCTTTGCTTGGCTGCCCTTTCCTTCCAAAGCAAGGGCAGATTTATTGTTCAAAAACCTGCAGCTTGGGAGAGGATGTTCATGCCTCCGACTCTTCTGATTCTGCGTTTCAGTCTGCTCGATCCAGAGATTCCAGGAGGAGTGTCCGCATGGGAAAAAGCAGCCGGTCAGCTGACCAGTGCCGTCAGTCTCTCCTCCTGTCACCAGCCCTCAATTACAAATTTCCTGGCCTTTCAGACAATGCTGATGATACCCTCTCTCGTAAGCTGGATGATTTAAGCCTTTCAAGGGAAGAGGCCAGCTTTGTTAATGAAGATTTCTGGAAAGGAAGAGTAGAGCAAGAAATGCCTGAAGACCCTGAAGAATGGGCTGAACATGAAGATTACATGACTCAACTTCTTCTGAAGTTTGGTGATAAAAGCCTCTTCCAGCAGCCCACTGAAGTAGACATTAGATCAAGTGAACACTGGATTTCTGATAGCATGGTCAAGAGCAAGTTGGACTTGAAAAAAAGTAATCCAAGCCTAGCAAGTAAGAAATATCAATCAGACATGTACTGGGCCCAGTCACAAGATGGTTTGGGAGACTCTGCATATGGCAGCCACCCAGGCCCTGCCAGCAGCAGGAAAATCCAGGAGCTGGACATGGAACATGGGGCATCAGGATACAAACACGACCAAACACCGTGGTATGGAGGTTCACTCGAATGTTTGTCTGACTTGAAACAGCAAGAACAAAGTGTTCGTGATTCAATGGATTCCTTGGCTTTGTCTAACATAACAGGTAATGGGGAAATAAATGAACAGTTTTGATAGAAAGGTCAACCAAAGTATGAGTGTTGGAGTATTTTGAACAAAGATTTTTCATTTCTGTGATTTTTAAAAGCTTTGATAGTAGGAGAAGCATGTAAAGTAGGCAACAGCTTTTATCAAGCATGTAATCTTTAGTGAGATATGTTTCAGCTGCTTAAATTCTATTAGACTCTTACTCCTTTTGACTTCTCTTTGCTTAAAGCAAAAAAATTCATAATGTCAAACAGAGTAAGAATGGCCTTAAACTGTGCATTTGTTATATACAAATCACAGCTTTAAGCAAATGACAATTTTTTTTGCCATACCTGAAGTACAAGAAGTTGCATTATATATTAGGATAAGATTAAAGGTAATCTGCAAAACACTTCAGATAATTTCCTGATTTGCTTGTAAAAATATGTAGAAAGTCTGAAAGGATGGTAAACTTCTTAGCCTTAGGAAATTAGGTTTATGAGATTATCTTTCTCCATTGACTACAAGGAAACTGGTAATCTGCTTTTTTGAACCTCCTTGTCAAATGTGATTGAAGTTACCCAGAGGGATAAAGTGCATGTTAACCTTCCTTTCCTAATTCCCTACAAACCCCCCAAACCTAGGAGTCAGAGACTCATTTTAAAAGTTGTTCAATCATCTTCTCCATTTTTTTTCCTCCTCTAACCTGAATTAGTGCAGCTACTCATGTAGCTCAGGCCCAAACACAGGCTGGCTGCAGTTGCCAAGCAGTAATGAAGGAACTGAGGAGGGGAGGTTGTTTCAGGTGGCACAGGAGGAGAATGAACTAGAGGTGTTGCACCTGGGACCATCACAGGGCACATGACACTGTTGTGGGAATGAAGGGTCAATAGACACAAACGTGGAATACACTAGGCCAGCTTATTGTTGATGCTTTTTGGAGGATAAGGATCCTTCTTTGCAAGGCAATAAGCTTGGCTTTCCTGTAGCAACAGCTGGAACATGAATTTGGCAGTACCAGAAACATGAAATATTTTAGCCCTAAAAATGGCAAGCATAGACTGCAGAATTATTTTAAGTAATAATTTTTCTTAGAGGCCTAGCTTGTATTCATGTTTCAAAATTTTAAACTTATTGAATTTCTGCTCTTGATGTCCTCATGTTAGCTAATTCTTTGGTAATCAGAGCTATACTCAAATGTTTTAAGTCAAAACAAAGTTTAATCTTCTATGAAGCTAGTCCTTTGGGTAATAGTTCTGAAAAACACTAACAAGGTCTGCTTTGCTGACAAGAAATGTTTTGTATTTTGTTATAATAGTTGTCTCTATCATGCTTCTCTCATTTTCCTTTTCCTCCTTTCTCCATTCCTACCACAGGTGCTTCAATGGATGGAGAAGGCAAGCCACGGCCATCCCTCTACTCTTTGCAAACTTTCCAAGAACTGGATGTGGAGGACTGTGAGAAGATGAGCAACATGGGAACTCTAAATTCTTCAATGCTCCACCGGAGCACAGAGTCCTTGAAGAGCCTGAGCTCAGAGTTGTGTCAGGAAAAAGTCTTGCCAGAGGAAAAGCCAGTCCATATGCCTGTACTGAGAAGATCTAAATCCCAATCCAGACCACAGCAAGTGAAGTTTTCAGATGATGTTATTGATAATGGAAGTTATGAGAATCTCGAAATACGTCAGCCTCCAATGAGTGAGAGGACTCGTAGGCGTGTTTACCATTTTGAAGAACGTGGAAATCGGCCTTCTCATCATCGCAGAAGAAGTAGGAAGTCCCGTTCAGATAATGCACTTAACCTGGCCACAGAAAGAAGAAGCTCTCCGAGAGAGAGATTTCGTTATTACTCCCCTCAGGATCATGAAAAATTTATTCAGAATAGGAGCTCACGTGAGCTTCGGGCATTTATTCAAAACGCGGAGCTGTATGGACAGTATGCCCATACTAGGTCTGACTATGCACTGAGGAATCAGGTGGTTGATAAGTTTTTTGGGTTGTATGGTGAGGAAGATGACTCCTGGTGTTCAACTTCATCCTCATCATCCGATTCTGAAGAGGAAGGATATTTTCTAGGACAGCCAATTCCACAACCACGGTCACTGAGATATCCGTACTATACAGATGATCTTTCTGGTCCAACTACTGCATTATCTACTTCTCAGTTTGGACAAAGGACAACCAAATCAAAGAAGAAGAGGGGACACAAAGGAAAAAATTGCATTATTTCTTAATTAATTCTTAATATTTCTTAATTGGGAAGACCAGTCAACTCTGTTGCTACAGTATGAACCACATCTTTTTATATTAATAATTGTACTTAGGCAAGTTGCTGAAGTTCTTAATGCTTTGCCATTGTAAATGATAACCCTGCCAGAGTTTACATTGTTCAAGTAACATTCAGAAATGTCTCCACACCAAATGATCTGCTCAGATACTGCTAGGTTTACATACTGTGTTTCAGCTGTCACAATACTGTTACTGCAGTTCTTGATAGAGACTTTTTGTAGATATTTTATTTTATGCTCGCTATTCACCTACACTGAATTATCTGAGAGAGGATTCAGCAAAGATAAGTAAATAAAAATGTCAGTCCTGTGCTGTAGCTATATCCACATAGATGATCTTTGACTTTTTCCTCTTGCTGCCAAGAAAAAGAAGGCTCTCTGCTGTGTCTTTTCTTCACAGATAAAGCTCACTCTTCCTCTTTCAAGTTTCCTCACAAAAATTGGAATTTTTTTTTTAATTTGGGAAAATGCTCCTTAAGAGGCAAAAATCAGAATGTGGGAGCTGAAATGCTCGAAGCCTTGATGTATCCTAAAGCAACAGTAAATGGTTTATACACTTAACTTTCATGGGTTTTCCTCCACAATTTTTTGACAAACTGTAAGGTGAATGTTTTGGGTTTGGGGTTTTTTTTGTGCCTGTTTAAAGGAAGGTGTTAATTCAGCTGCTGGAATTGGACTTAACTGCCAATGAGTGGTGATGTTTCTTCTGTCATTCCCCCCAACCCTTCAGCAGTGAGAGAGGTAAAACTGCTGGAGTCCTTTGCTCAGGCATGTAACCCCATTTAAGTCAATGAATCCACTTTCTTACGTAACAAATATTTTCATAAGGGCTTAAGGGATTAGGCTCCAGAATTGTGTCTTTTCACATGCATTATCCAGGTTTTAAAATGTATTAGCTGCAATTCTAAGTCAAAAAACATTGATATTTATAATGTAGTATTTCATAGGCTTAAATGTATTCATAATTTAACAGTGCAAATACTAATGTACATATTGTACAGTTAAAATTTTAAAATCTGAATATTTTTATATCCCTGAATTTGAAGAAGTTTGTTACAAGATCAAACTAGATTTGTTAAGGGTTTAACAGCAGCATTATGGATGAAATATTGCTTGTATTTTAGTCAGGGGGTTTAAGCTGAAAAATATTGAAAAATGTTCAGTGCAAAACAGCTTAATTTTGTCTACTAGGTATTAAAAGCTCTGTATGCATGGTGGGGCTATGTAAATACTCTCTATGGCCCTCTTAATCTTGCAAGTGTTATTTATGGGTCAAACAAAATGTAAACTATATAAATGTAAAAACCACACAAGCCTGGAATATATCAGTACAACCAGTATGCAACTCCTGTGGATGTGGATTTTATTATTATTGTTCCCCCTCCTTTCCCAAAAATAATTTCCGAAGTTCACCTACATAAAGGAAGAGAGATCCTGGGTGGTTCTAGAAGCCAAGCTGGCAAAAACTGTAACCTAATAGCTAATCTCAAAAGTTCCCTTGAACTCAGATGTGGAGCAGGAGCTACTTTAAGTTATAATAAACTTCTTCTACTGTTTTAAATAAATTTGTTAACTGTGACATCCACTAATTAAGATAGTAAATGCTAAAGCCAATGGCTTTCTGACCACCTGAGGAAAGGAAATGAATGAAATAGTAGATGCTTCTTACCAGAAAAGCCTGTCAAATCAAACTAAGCTTGCCCTTCTTGAGGATATAAAAGTTGTAGATAAAAGCAGCTAAAAGTAAGGAATGGATACACAGGCACTGGCTTACACCAAAGAAAATGAAGCTATTGCGAAGGCTAAATCAGACTAGCAGTTACTTGCTTGTATTTTTCTGGGTAAAACGGGCAACAGATCCTTTACTCCCAGAAGTGGTACTCATCCTGTAAGTCACTTCTCTAGTACAAACAAGTCTCATGTAGGTGAAAGCTGATCAAAGCAATACCCTGTTACATCCCATGGGCCGATGGGTGCCTCGTGGGATGGTTCCAGCTGGCAGGCTCTGCCCTGGCTCAGGCAGCACATGCTTCACAGCCACCAGACTGCCAGAAGTTACGGGGCATGAGGAGAGATGTTGACTTCTTAATACCTTCCCCAGAATGCTCCAACAATGATTAGGACCTTCCCTTCTTGCCTGCATTTCCAATAATGGGAAATCAGGGTCCTCAGAAACAAAATGCTGTGCTACTACTGCTGTGTCCTTTGTTGGACCAAGTAACAGTCTCATGGAGAAATGTCTCCACCGGTATTTCTTCTGATCTTACATCATCTCCTGAGATGCACCATATGTACTCTCTCAAACACCAATGTCTTATGGAATATTAGATAATAAAAGTTCTCCATAGATTGCTAGTTGCTTCTTAATATTTTCTTCTTTAAGAAAAAAATTTAAGATGACTATACAACTTTATTTATAGTTTTCTCAGCTTGACATAAACAACTTATATTATTTTTGACCACTTCCAATGAGAAATATTTCTAACTGGTTCTTCTACCTTAAATAGAATGGTACGGGGTTAGCACATTAACAAGTGCTAGGAGTAACTTCTACTTTCAGGAGCTCTTACAGTGACAAAGAAATCAAATTCCTCCATCACAGCATGTTTTCTTTCAACAGTGCTCTTTCTACCACTTTCCAGGAGCCCCACAGAGACTGTCCACTAGACCAGAGACATTTTTTTTATACTGATCTGAAATAAATCCAAACTACATGCTTGTTCTAGAGGAAGCAAGACTAAAAGCCATCCTTCTGCCTTAAATTAAGGAACTGGCATAGTATATTTTACTTACATCAGAAAGCATACATCCCAAAAGGTTAAACGTGAACATTCAACACAATGTCAAGTATTAAATGGAAAATCATTATCCTCTCACTTATGAATGCAAATGAAACCTTTCACAGAAATAACACGAAGAATTAAAGACTCCTTAGTTCATGAGTAAAATTTAATCAATTTCTTCAAAAAAGATTAAGCAAAGGACAATGTAACAAACTTTTGAAAGATCTTACTGACCTGTTAGCTAATATAAAATACTCAAGAATACTGGCTGACAAGTCAGGCTGGCTGACAGGTCAGGCTCAAAAAATTATAGTAAATGGGGTTACCTCAGGCTGGCAGCTGGTCACCAGTGGCACTTCATAGGGCCAGTGGTCTTTAATATTTTTATGAATGGTTAAGAGAGGAGTCAAATGTACATTAAGTAAGTGCTAACACTACTAAATTGAGAGGAGCTGTGGACTCCCCTCAAGGGCAGAGAGGCAGAGAGATCTGGATAAACTAGTGAACTGGGCAATCACCAGCTGCATGATGTTTAACAAGAGCAAGTGCCAGATTCTCCACCTGGGACAAGGGTAGTCCTGATTATACATACAAATTGGAGAATGAGAAGCTGGAGAGCAGCCCTACAGAAAGGGACGTAGAGGTCCTGGTCAAAGGCAAGTTAAATACGAGTGAATAGCTGTCCTGGCAGCCAGGAGGGCCAACCATGTCCTGGGAGGCATCAGGCAAAGCATCACCGGCCGGTTGAGGGAGGGGATTGTCCCGCTCTGCTCTGCACTGGTGCGGCCTCACCTTGAATATTGCGTGCAGGTTTGGGCACCACAAAATAAAAAAGATATTAAGCTATTAGAGAGAGGAAGGTGGTCAAGATGGTGAAAGGCCTTGAGGGGAGGAGTGTCTGAGGTCACTTTGTTCAGCCTGGAGGGGACTGAGGGGAGACCTCATTGCAATCTACAACTTCAAGATGGGCAGTGGAGGGGGAAGTGCTGATCTCCTCTCTGGTTACCAGTAACAGGACTGGTTACTAGTAACAAGGAAATTGAATGAAGCTGCATCAGGGGAAGTTCAGACTAGACATCAGGAAAAGATTCTTCACTGAGAGGGTGGTCAGTCATTGGAACAGGCTCCCCAGGGAAGTGGTCATGGCCCCAAGCTGCCAGAGTTCAAGGAGCATCTGGACAATGCTCCTAGTCATATGGTTCAGTTTTCAGTAGTTCTGCGAGGAGCAGAGAGTTGTACCCAATGATCTTTACAGTTCCTTTCCAACTTGAGATATTCTATGACCATAAGCTTACGTATTAATAGAAAAGCACTTGAAAAATCAGATATTTTTATCATAGTAAATTTAATCAGGATTCTAACAAAGGAAACTCCTAACAAACTGTACAGTAACAATGGAAATTTTTAATCAAAAATATATTAAACACAATTTCAGTAATTTTTCATTAGCTTTTCTAACCCAAAGCAGAAACCCAAAAAGGTTCTCTGTCCTGTAGACAAGTAGCGAAGTGCTGTAGTTATGCTTCTGCATTAGAGAAGACTGCCTGTGGTTCACAACTGATCTTCATAAAACAATGGTAAAACTGATCTTGGTAGAACGACAAAAAAATCTTGCCAGAGGGGGCGGGTCAGGTCTTGCTACTGTGTCACAACAGGTTGCCTCTCTTTCCCTCTCTCCCTCACCAAATTAGCATCCTGTAGGACCCATGAGCTGATTTCCACTCACTGTGCAGCTCACATAATCCTAGTTGCCAAAAAGAGCAGTTGCAGGTCATCTCCTTTGAGCAATGTGAACTCTTAGAAACCAACAAAAGCCAACTGCAAAACCACACTCTACTGACATGAGAACTAACCAGGCATCTCAGGAATCTGATGCAATGAATACTTAATACACCATAGCGAGATCTGCATGTGCAAGATGCTGTGATACATTCAGTACCCTGCACATGCAAAATCAATGCTATTTCATTTATGTTTCTGTACCCCATTCTGACGAAATCGAGAAATGGTGAGTTTGGTCTTTAGTCCTTTTAGAGTTTCACATGTTCCTAAATGTATATGCAGACAAAACAATCATGCTATTACTTACCTCTTTGTGATTATGACTCAAATTATCCCTTTCCTAAAACTTTCATAAAAAACAGTACCTTAATAAATGTAGTAAATAGTCAGGATTCCACAAATGAGTCCTGAATATTTTTCACTAGCAGCCTCTTGACTTTCCTCAATAACTGTTCCCAAAATACAGGTTGCTCCATCACGTAAAAAATGGTCCCAGACTCTCCTAGGTTTGAAATTATGGTGAATTTGGGGCCTTAGCGATCAACTTTGCTTTACACCTAATCCAAAGCTACCATCTACTAAAGAGATGGTCCCGCTTGCTTTCCTTGCCCATCTTTGCCACCCCAATTCCTGCTCCTTCTTGAAGTTAGAAATAAAGATTACACACAGCCTCCTTATTGTTAAAACTGATGGATGAAAAGTGGTGAGAACTTGTAAGGGGGGAGAGGAACAGAGTAGGAAAAGGGAACTTGCCCTGCTCAGTGGCTGCCTGCAGTTACATTCTGTAGGGTGTAGTCAAAAACGTAGCAAATACAAACAGTAAAAAAAAAATAGAATCCATCCTACATAATACTGCTTACTAGTAATGAGTCCTGATATGGAAAACACCGAAATTTAAAAAGGATTTGCAGAACCTGCAATTATAAAAAAATACAGCACTTCTTATATCAAGTAGTTAAGAGCTGCTCTAGCAGTCAGAGACTAGAGGTAACTCCTTGTGTAATTTTTACAGAATTAATTGGAATTTTTAAATTAAACCAAAACAGATTATTTAAATCATAATTGTGACCAATTTTGCAAGTCATCCCTTTCTATGGGGGATGATATATGAAAACCAGACATATTTCTGCATATGTTGAGGAATGGGAGTTGTGTCTTATTATTTTAATAAAAAAGACATTGTTTGAAGTTACACTTATATGCATCAAAACATAGGAGTGCATACATCAGACTGAACATTTTTTTACAAGCTAATGATGTAAAGGTTTCAAAAATAGTTTGTCACTTTACAACATTTTTAAAAAGAACATTCTTTAAAAGGAATATATGTCAACAAGTACAGGTGGGAACAATACAATTGTGGAGACTACAGTGAACAAGGGAACAGCCACCTGAGCTACCTCAAAGGAGCACAGCCTTGGGTTCATATCTCCAACAACATATCTCCTCTTTCCCTGCAAAAGCAGATTTACATACTCCTTAGTAGGAGCCCTCTTTGAAGGATTCTGAGAGATCTTGATTGGCAGCATCATACTCAGCAATGAAATGTTTGAGTTCTTCAATGCATCGCTCACCTATTTCATGCAAATTCTGCCTCAGGGCAAACTGAATGGAGTTCTCTAATGATGGATCTTTATCAATTAGCATCTTCACTACCATGCCAAAGGTTTCACAGTCTTGTCTGTAGACCTAGAAACAACACATTTTACATTAAATGTAAGACTCTTCACATTAGCACACCGACAGCCCTCATTGAATTAGATCCAAACCAAAAAGGAATATTGGATTTAAAGTGAGTTTCAACTGTAAAACTTATTGGCATTTACCTCTCTTCTGACCCGTACTAATACAAATGTAACTAGCTCAGAACTATCTGGATACCAGACATAACTTTTATTGGATGAAATACCTTCAAAGGAGATATTAAGTTCCTCTTGCAGAAATATTTAATAAATAATGGTAGAGCAAAGTGTAAATGCTAAACCAGATTTTCATTTCAATATATTTAAAATTAAACTGTGGCATGTCTAGCAATCTAATCTTTATACAAAGCATCAATAACTTAGTTTGTAATATTTCCTTATACTTTAAATACAAGCCGTGTTTGTTTGTTGGACATCTGTTTATTGTAGAAGTCCTTGACAAATATGACTTTAATTAGTTTGGGTCTACTGGTGATTCAATGACTAGAAAACAGAGAAATCCCGACAGTGGTTTACCTGAACCCATCTGACCTCATCCTGCAGGGAATGAGGAGTTTTCAAGTCAGTAATGCACCACATTTGAGGTGAAGGAACTTCTCATTATCACTGCAACTGTTTTTCTAACAAGCATCTGACTGTGCTCTTAGGTGGTTTTCAAAGCAATCAGTGTCATTTCAAATTTGGTTTTTTCCAGACTCCAGTTAAGTTTATTAATCTAAACATCCAGAGAAAAAGGAATTTGTCAAAGTCTTTTCAACTGCCAGGTGCAGTTCATTTTCACACCTCTTTGGCCAATTTCCATTTAGAAAATACCTTGGCTTTTTGAATGCAGATAAGTAGTAATTTTTCTATCTGCATATTTTTTTTGAGGAAAAAAAGCTAAAATGTTGATACTCTTCAAAGTATGATTATCTTTTAGCATTCTGTACTCGTCTTTGAACTTGTTTTTCACAGGTATGTGCAACCCTTTCCTCCCACATTTATCTATATTGTGGACACCAATGATACAACTGTATATAACAATTCCCCACTACTAAAAACAAAATTAAAAAACAAAGAAAACACACCCACCCCACACCAAAACCCACCACACTACTGGATCCATAAGAACCAGTTTCAGGTCACCTTAAGCATAGTCATGTCAGAGGAGCACTAAAAAAAACCAACATTCTGCATAAAAACTAAACTATTCTCAGAAAAACAATGATTTACATGATACCTTTAATAAAGACAGTTTGAAAGCATATTCTATATAAACAGTCTAAAACAAGACCCAAACACCAGTTGACAAATAAAAGAAAACCTTTCAGAAGAAACTGATTTTCAGTGGTGATTAACAAATTAAAAAGAAGAGTGCAGCCCAAACCAAACTGGAGCTAAGCATCTTCAATGTGGAAACGCTGTGCACATGACATTTTTTCAGAGAGGGGTTTGTTTCCTTCTTTGTATGTTTAGTTCTTCGGTAGTAAAATACCAGCACAAAACCCAGACTCCCAGAGCTAATGTTCCACAGCAAATAAATGTAGTACTTGCTAAAAGAACTTAAGAGTAAATTCAGTAACTTTTTTCTCTGACTCTTTCCAAAGAAAAAGCTCAAGAAGAATTGATGTCTCTGATTAGTCATGTGACAGACAGATGAGACTTTGTTTTGGGTAACTCAGGCCTTTCAAGTACTTGCAGCACGCTTGCAAGCACCCTCACAGGATGATTTCTGAAATATTTTTTTCTCCCCAAAGACATTATGCTTTGGGGGAAATAGTTTGATTTTTTTTTTCTTATTGCATTTCTATTTGTCCTATTTTATCACCTTCAAAGTGGTCAGACCAAGGATGTGTGAATGATCTTCCACAAGTAAACAAACCTGGTAACTCTGAGTCTTCAGAGGACCCTGGCACTAACAGACAACACAGATGCATTGCCCAGTCTTCTGCACAGGAAGGCACCCAAAGCTACAACTGAAGGAAATGTTCTACTTTTAATTGGTCTTCAAATGAATGGCAAATAGTACTATCTGCTATTTCATTCACACACTACAAAGAACTAACCCAGATGAAATTCTCTGACCTTTAGCATATAAATATTAGCTCAATCTAAGCATATTTTTCTTTAAAACTTTCACAAAAGAAGACTTGGAGGAGAATCTAGAGAGCCATGGTTGCTGCATCTGGAGTCAGAAGTCACTCTGCTGTCACAACAATCTGAAAATGAAACACCTTCACACAAGAGATGAACATTTTCAATACTTTATGACAAAAAGACTTAAAAAAAATAGAATTGACCTAAATTACTAAATTAGGGAAAGAGGGTGAAGGTGGAGCAGGAAGGCAGTTCTAACAACAGAAAACAAAGGAAACAGCTCAGCTCCTCTAACAATAATTGAGCAATTTTCCCTCAAGAAGCTTTCTGCCCCAGCTGCTAATTCTGATCCTCCTGGTGCAATCTGCCTCCTTTCCAATTGTGCTGATAACCTTATTTGTATAGCTGCAACATAAATTGCATCACTGAGATTATCCCTTTTAAAATTACTTTCCCCCAATTAATGTGATTCAATTCAATTCTAAAATCAGATGCATCTGCACGACTGAAAGAACTGTGAGCCATGGTCTTAAAGTGAAAATAACTTCACAAACCAGTTTATATCTGAAGTCAGTGCACAACTACCAACCTTCAGAGAGAAGTTACTATGCTTTACAGAAGGAAATAGAGATTATAAATTACAAGAATATCAATACAGAGGATGTTAATTACAACTTAATGGTACACTCAACTATTTCAAAAATGTGTGAAAGCAGTCAAAGCTCTTAAAAAAAAAGAGGACAGTGGCGTGACATTAAAATCCATCTTTACACAGAATACAAGGAGGCTATTTCTGGAGAATAGCCAAGAATGTGATACTTGACAAAGGAAGAAAATTGCAGAAGAGATTCCAGACAAGCAAAAAAGCTCTGTTGGAGAAAAATACTGGAAGAACTTGTGCTACAACAAGGTACAAAACCAATCTTATCTTTGAAATTCCAGCTGATACTGATTTTGATCTCAGACCATGAAAAGCTCATCTGTAAACATCTGGAACTAAAAGCTGAAAATTATTTCATGTGTGAAGAAAGAAGAAATAATGTTTTTAAAATGAAAACCAAGAAAGGGAATGATACCAATGACATGATTATTCTGTCCAACATATGTCAGATAATCCTGAAAACAGCTAGAGCCATAGGGTGATCATTTACCAAGGCCTTAGCATACATTTATTCTCTGACCTAAGCTACAGCACCAGCATAATGGAAAGAGCATGTACAACTTCAGTAAGCAGATGAAGGAGAAGTATAAACAGCTGTTCTATTCCATAATACATAAATATATTTATTTTATATACACATACGTGGTCTTCATTTTCCTATGAACCAGAAGTATTTAACTGAAGTTCTCTTTGAAGAGTTTTCCAAAATCAGCACATCTGACATCTGTGAAGTCAATATGCATACTTTTATATTATTCTTATGGAATTTTAGCTCTTTTTATTGTTACATGATAACAGCTTAGAAGCTCTGACTGAGATCAACCCTTTGCTGTGCTGGTCTCCATATAAGCACTTGATGCAAATCTAAAGGTGTGATGCACCTGCAACATGTTAGTGAACACTCCTCATTTATTTCAGGAAACTAAATCAAAACTTGCACTTAGAACTGTTTAAATATAGCTAAAAGACACTTATTTCCAGATATAACTAGAGAAAAGGAAATGTTAATCCTCCAGGTGTGAGGTGATCAAGCCCTAGAACTCCCCAGGCAGAATGAAACTTTTGAAAACTCCCTGATCTATGTCTATGCTACGTTTTCACAGTTAACCTCAAAATGCCATCAACAGTGTCTTAAATTACAATGTATGACATTGACATGAAAGGAACGACGGACACCACACACTTCTTTCAGCTCAGCTCTTCTCTGAACAGGAAGAAAGAGGGGCAGAAGCAAGCACACATGGACTGCTCATGTCTTTGACTGTTATATCCCATCTTCAATGATAATCTAAAAATGATATTTGCTTAAACCAAAGAAAAACATGTTGAATGGCTTTGCTGATGGGTGAAATTATAACTAGCTAGGGAATACCTTGACGACATGCCTACCTCACTCAAAGTCCACATAATTTCCTTTCTCTGCCTAGCACAGCCCCATGTTTTTCTCTCAAACTGTTCCACAGCTGCACATGCATTTTGATCAACAGAGCTGTTAGACAATATAACCATAAGTAATGAGAATGAAAACCAGAACTTAAGATGTCCTACCCTTCAAATGATTACAGGTTGCAGAAAAGTCATAAGAGTAATCTTGACCTCAAGGTCTTGCATACCTGGCCAAAAATCAGCTTCATTTCAAAAGCAAGATATTCAAAGGGGATGAAGACAACCCTTATTTCAACCCATGTATCAAGTTTACTTTAGGTCAGCTCTACAGTCTGTGCAAAGAAAGGCTTCTGAACCTCTCAAGATGACTCAGAACAGCTAAAACCACAGCATCTCTTCTAAACAGATTTGAAGAATAGGGAAACAAGAAGTTCCCTGATAACTGGAATGATCTCCAGGAAGACTGGTCCCACCAGGATACAAAAGTTAGGCTTTGCATCTCCCTTGTCCACAGCTCACAGAAAGTAGAACTGAGTAGCAAATGAAAGATGCAAATTTCTACTGTCTCAGAAAGGACTCAACTGAATCTTCACTTCTCATTTGTAGGAGAACTGATCTAATGAATGTGCTTTCTTTTATATACAGGTGTTAAAACATTAACTTTCTTCTCCAGCTATGGTTTTGAATGAATATGACACTGTAGCACCTTTTTTGAATGCTCTTGGCTTTATGCACATGTAAAAGCCTCTTGAATAGGAATCATCAAGAGACTTGCATATGCAAAGCTTGAGCAGCTATATGCAGGAGATGGTCAAACTCACTTCAATGCAGAAGGGGGTACTTGCAAACCTGCTTGCAAACAC